AGCTTAATTTCACTCTAAAGATTTGTTTGATTGGTCTATTGAAAAGACGCAATTTAAAATGCTATTAAAACATTGCTTGAGACGAAAGGGGCCGGATGGAATGTCTTTGATCCCTTGGAAGGTGGGACTGGCTCTGCTATGGAATGCTACTGGTGTGGACACGTTAGCCCCGTCTGACTTCCCACGGACCAGCAAAAAGCTGGCAGCCGCAGAGCAGGCGGTAAATGATAAACGGCTCAAATAAGAGTCTTTCCTACAGCATTTTGTTCCCCTTTGGAGTAGGGACTCTTGGGCCGTGGGGTTCAAGTGCACAAGCGCTAATTAAAGATTTAAGTTGGCGCCTGGTAGATAGTACCCCAGAGCTGGTGCTTTTCTCGCTCAACGAATAAGTATTTATCGCAATATAGCGAAAAAATGCTGTCAGCGTTAAAGGTTTAATTTTCTATTTATTAATTTTAAATTATAAATAATTATTATAATACTATGTAGGATAAGAATATTTTAAAAACTATATTAGATTATTTATAATTGCCTTTAGAATCATTAATTTTGTTAGGCCTTTAAAAATTCAAACTGAACATTAATAGTTACAAGAACCCACCTAACGCTAATCGCTTCTAGAAGCAACATGGCGTCGCACCCGTCCCTATGACGAACCATGGCTATTAAAAAGTAAACAAACATCAAGCTTTTACCTGTTGATTATTCTTTAATAACACAAATACACACATTCGATCAAAAACAGTCCCCGACGAAATATACCTATTAGTAGTAGACAGGCGGAAGTATTATTGACAAGTATGCTACATTGAACAAGATGGCAAGAGGAATTGAAAAATGGAGCAAGTACTAAACTGGTGCCCAATCTACACCAAACGAAAAAGAGGAAGACAACTTAGTAGGTGGATAGACCAAATTAAAGAAACAGCAGGTGGTACACGGGAGAGAGTGGCACAGCGCAGAGAGGAATGGCGGGATTTGGAGGCCATTGCCAACAAAGGGCACACATATAGCTAAAAGAAGATTGAAATAGAAACGTGTTTAAATGTAAAGGTATTTGAATTGAAAGGCTATTATTATTATACTACATTATCGTCGTTTCGCTAATATTTTACCGTTTTATGTCCGTTATTTCGTTTTACGTGACTGATGTATGCACAACCATATTTTTAATTTGTGATAAATTAATTTACCCGATAACAATTTTTGCCATGTTTTCAAGAGACAGCTATTCAAGCTTTGTACTTCGTGCTCACACACTTGTTAGTATGTAAATTATTTCTTTTTTATACAAAATAATGTAAAATGTATAGTTGCAATTTTTGTAAATATGTAAGCACCATCTACATAATAATATAGTTATTGTTGCATTGTTTTTTATAATACTATACGCCGTTTTTTTTAGTATTTTATTTTTTTTATAATATAGGTACATGGTCTTCACATATAATTATCAAATCACTATATACAAAATACTGTAAAAACTATTTTAAAACAGTGAGTACGGAGTTTCTTGCAAATTCTTCTCCATATGAGACTACTAATAATTTTTTTTAATATTTTTAACTTGTTATTTTGATTTACCAAAGTGCCTTTTTAATATACCTAATTGAAATAAATTATTTGACTTTGACATTGTGCTTGTCACATTCCAATGCAATTTATAAAACGTCTGTCATTTTGAATAAATAATAATTATTATTGCATGTTAAGGTGAGCGCAGTTTATGGACTGACTTAGTTGGTAAACGGCAAAGGTTTTTATATTAAGAATTATTAACTATAGCTTAGGGTAAATTTAATATTATATGGACGTACTGAAGTCATATGTTAAGTCATAAGTCTCGAGTCTCTCCGAGGGTTCATTAAAAAATCTAGGCTCTCCTGATGTTATGTGATACCACCCATGGACACTCTCAATGTCAAAAGGCTCGCGAGTGCGTTGCCGGCTTTTAAAAATTTGCATGCTCTTTTCTTGAAGGACCCTAAGTCGAATTGGTTTGGAAATATCTCTACGACCGTTTTAGTTCATTCAAATGGCCTGGCCTGGCCGCTTTAATAAACAGCGCCATTTAACTAGCGGCCTGAATGATATTCAGCCGTAGCATTTGTACAACTTTTAATAAACTGGCTGGCTTATGCTTAGGCAATTCGTACGATAAAGTGACCATGTGGCAGAAATAAAAATGAAGAAACATCTGACATAGAAAATCTTTATTTAATATACCTATTGTAAAAAATGTAACATATTACTGTTCTTTGGAAATCATAAGCGAAGCCATATTGACAGTTTGGAAAGTTTCTGCGTTAGGTGGCAAAAAGTGGAACTACATTGAAATGACCAGGCAAGACAAGTAATGAAACGTCATCGATTCAAGTTATTTAATATTTTCATAGCTGTTTTATCAAATGACTGAATATCATTCAGGCCACTAGTTGAACGGCGCTATTTAGTTTAGAGGCTAGGCTGTTGATTGAACGACTAATTAAGCTAGTTGGCTGCGACATGTAGAACATATCAAGAATAGAAATATAGAATAGAAATTATTTTTACTATGCTTCACTACCCTCGCAACAATAATTCTGGGTTGTTATAATTGTTCACTTGCCTTAGAACATGTTTAATAAAAGAATATGTCCCATACCCCAAAATAATGTAGGTTATTAAAGATCTAAGTGTACATTATTAAATACAATAGCATCAAGGTGAATCGCTAATTGAGCTTGATGAAGACATCCGTTGCACTACTCGCTACCGTACTGTGATGTGGGTGTGCATTATTCAATTTCATTTATACATTCAGCTTTCGACATATCAAGAAAAGTTAAGACAAAATCATTTATTCATATAGGTAACACAATGTACACTTACGAACGTCAAAAAATAAATATACATTAAATGCTTCTAATTTTACATTTAATGCCAGTTCTCAAATCAAGGGCGTAGAACGGAAGAGAAGAACTGGCAATAAAGTCTTCCCCACTCTTTTTAATCGCCAAGTTTTTTTTTGTACAACATTACACAATGTTTGTAAGGCAACCATTACACAATGTTCCACATGACATCTTAAGTGATTAATAATAATAAAATAAATTAAAAACAAAGATTTGTCGTCTATCAGCAGGAGGCATGGTGAAATACGAGCACGTACACGTTACAACACGCAAATACATAGTCGAAATTATTAAAATCACCGAATAGACGAATTCAAGTACGACCAGTCACCACAAGTAGCACCCGTTCACGAGTATGACGCATGGCCAGCCATCCGTATATTTATAACTTTGTTTAAGAAGCTAAAATGTTATCTCTAACTAAATGTACTAACTTACTTTTGGAAGAAAAATATTATCCTATTAATGATTATTTGCATGAAACATTATAATTAATATTAATTTGATAAAGTAATAATATATTTTAATAGTGTGATATTTATCACTACAAATAATATAAGAATTCACCACAAATTCATCAATTAATTGTAATGGGTAAAATCCAGGGTAAACGGCGTGTTGGTAGAAATCATGACTTCGCAACGTTAGACGGACGGGTATTGCGACTGCAGAAGAGTTGCTGCATCTGGCACAGGACAAGACACGCTTCAAGAGACTGTCGGCCAACCTCCAGTAATGGAGAGGCACTAAAAGAAGAAGAAAATTAATGTATATACTTTGTATGCGCTTATAATTCAACAGATTAAGTGAAATGGTTAAACAATTAATTTCTTTAGATATATTTTAGTTTTGATCTAAACTTATTTAATATTTGCCGTATTGAAAAATTTAAACCCAAAGCCGCGTTGAAATGGGATAGTTCACTGGCTGTACCAGATTTTTAAATTAAGGAAACATGGTTCAATAAGTAGTTATATTTTATTTTTCATGGTGTGAAGATGAACTCATTACTTTTGTTATTGATATTCTATAATTTGATAACATATGTCAAGTACTCATTAAAGCACTTTTATTAATTTTAACCGAATGAAAATATCCGAAGAAGGAGGTTTGCGATTTGACGTATATGTTTGCTTGTTTATTACAGATATATAAGAAATACATATAAATTTTTTTAAATTATTAATATTAGATAAATGGATGGAACTGTAGCTACTACGAAGGACACATACCAATATCGCCACATTCCTTGTAGTATTTAATAATAATAATAATAATTTATTCCAATTATAATAACATAGATTTATTTCAGTAAGTACACATCAGAATAATTTTAGAATTTTATTACATTATATTATTATTGATTTTAGATGCTTCATAAGTCTATATACACGGCATGAGATCTTTGTTTCAAAATTCTGAAAAGTAATACACCATTGTGACTTTTCCAAGAAAATGTAAACAAGCCTAATTTAGAAAGTGATAGAAGACCCTCATGTCACGAATATGCATGGTAAGCTGTCGGTCCTGCGCGTGTTTAATATCTTCCCCATAAATAATTGATCAGAACCCCTTCATGGGTAAAGGCCTATCCAAGGCTTTCTTTCTCCATTCGCTTCCTGCTAACGCTTCTATATCTTCTACTCGTATCCACCTTTTCTTAGAGCACCCTCTTCTTCTTCCCCTTGATCCTTTCCATCTGCCCCTTATGAGAATTATGGAATAGAGGCAGTAGTGCTACACATTTACACAATGCCAGTCTCATTAAAGGCCGTGACCGAATAACCTTGAAGAACTTTAGTTATCTACTAACCAAAGCCAGTAGCTAAACGGAGCATAGAGCAAAATCTCCTTTCAGTCAACAAACGCGTACCATCTCACGTATTATTGACTCTACTTGTCGCTTTATTACTCACAATTTATCCATTAAATTTATCTTTTATTACTATAATTTCTTTGTAAACAGTGCGAAACGCTATTGAAGTATCGACTTTGTGTTAACGTGATAGAGTTCATTTTAGATTGTGTGATTTGTGTTCATTTAAATATGATTACTCCTTAGTATTTTCAGTCCGCTTTTCGTGTTGTCAGTGTATAGTTTGAGATATGGTTTTCACAATTACGAAGAGTGAAAATGTGGAAAATAAAGGAAGTACTTGGAAGCAGTATGCCTTATCTGTTATGGGTATGTTTTTGAATAATTTTATTTTCAACGATTTTATTTTCACAAATGTAAGTATTTATTGGTTTTATTGCAATTACATTTAAAAAGTCTTTGTTGAATATTTTTTAGTATTAAAGCAATTACATTTAGTGTAAATACTTTCTTTTTGTTGCGCCTTTTTTATTATTAATTACGACGCCTATTTTTGTTACTTATGTATATTTTTGAAACTGAACTATTAAATCAAGTAAATAATAATATTGTCTTTGATATTTTCATCTGATTGTAGCGAGTGCTTAACAAATTAGTGTATATATCTGTTTATTTTTATAAAAAGTTGTTTTTATGATATCAAATATATATACAAAAAGTTTATAGTTTATGTATGATTCTCAAGAACACATAAATAATTTATCAAACTTTGAACAACAAAAATACACTAGATTTTAGATCCTTTTGATGAGGCAGAAGCGGGTGTCAACGCCGAAAGGGGGTTGCAAATTTCTAAACAAATCTATTTCTATCGTATTAGAAAAGTATACGAAAATTCTTCGTTAACGTATTTTTTTGCCTCATTATATTTTATTTTTTTTATCACGCAATGATACAGGCCACTTGAGAATGAGAAAAGTATAAATAAAAATGATTGCGTTATTCTTACATTTCATTGTATTTTAATCATTAATTCAATTAACTGTCGTTAAATTCAAATGTATATCGAACACATTATTTATAAATGTAATACCGAACTTTAAATGAAAAAAGTAGGACAAATTAATGATTATTCAAGGATGTTTTATTGAATTAATTAATGATAATGTCTTACATTTTCATTAATGATAAATATGTTATTTTAAGTTTTTAGTAGACATAAATATTTATAAATCTCCAATGACAGGTCATATTTGTAATGACAAGGTTATTAATAAAATATTAGGGAGAGTAAAAACGAAATATAAACGCTAAGTAAGACTCATGTATGACAGATCCAGTGCCTTTTTGACATGATGTTATAGAATGAAGGTATTGTCCTATTAAAGTTCCTAGTAGACTAATTATTTAGAAGTAGAATTCTGGAAACGAGTGGAGTAGAGTGACCGATTATGGTTTAATTTCAGTAAGCGAAAACCCATTTTTAACTAAATTTCTTAAATGTAAGTAAATCCAAAATGCTTTAAAACAACAATAATTGCAATAAAAAAATGTACCTATAAGAAATTTCTTTATATGATATAAAATAAATATTAATTAAATTAGCCTGTATTCAAGTATTATAATGAGGTTTACATTAAGTTTATGTTATTACGTATATATTTAATGAAACATTACCTCCGACAGCGTGAAGGTCTCCTCCAATTTCTTCCATTTGTCTCTCATATTCACTACTTTACAATCTTTCCCCGCTATCTCGTATATTTTATATTCCCAGCTTTGTAGTGGGCGTCTTTTTTTCTTTCCAACAGCTGTAAAAACAAATAATAAATAAATTTTAAAATATATATACGCCTATACATATATTACACCTTTCTCGATAGAGACGAATCATTGACAACACATTCATCAAGTCTGTGCACAGACCAGCGAGCTATCCGTGGTAAGCATACAAACATATTCTTTTCTTTGTTGTCGTTCAAACATTTGGATGTTTTTCAATAAGACTTGAAATGGTACGGTGCGTTTGAGATATCGGAGAGAATTAGTATTTACATGTAAAGTTAGAGGTGTGTATTACTGTGTATATGACTCCAATCCCAAAGTTTCTACGTTCGTTGGTTTGTGCGTTGCAAACACTAAAAATAAAGGTTTTGTTTTATTTTGTATATCTATGTCTATCAAGAAAAATGAAGACGCAAAAATAACTGCCCAATATCCCATTATAAGTTTACAAACCATTAATTAACATTAACCACATATTAACATTCCAAATTTATTGAAATAAAAAATATGGTCGCGAGTTAAGTTCGGTGGCGGTTGTTGGAGGGATGTTCAAATGAAACACTTTGTTTGAATCTAAGTGTCAACAGTCTTTAATCATTTAAAACATTTTTTAAGTGGAGATTTTGAGTTTATATCTAACATAAAATTAGTATTGTACATTACTAAATACAAAAACTCGCTCATAACTACAATTTATTGGCTACAAATGTAACGTGATTGTTAACATTTCGTTTGCGCTAATATATTGAAAAATATATTGAAAGAAACAAAGAAAAAACTTCATTATACACAATAACAGGATATTTAGCTAAAGTGCACTAGCCACACTAGGATTTCCTGTGTTGTGGGCAGCCAGTCTCTTCCTTTTAACATGTTAATTTACATTAAACTATTTTTGCACAACAAGAATATTTTCTGTATCAACATAGGACAGGTTGACAAGATGTTGTTTGAGTTTTTAGTGTATGTATGTAATATGAGTTTTGAAACGTAAGTGAAAATTTTGTTTTTAAGAAATTGGTTAAAGATGAAAGGGCCTCTGAAGGAAAGATTTGGGCGAAGAAAGTGCTTTTTTTGGTAGCTTATACTTAGTTTTGCGTTGTGTATGATGTGGTGTGTTCTATTTTTTTTTTTTTTTTTTTATAGAACGGGGGGCAAACGGGCAGGAGGCTCACCTGATGTTAAGTGATACCGCCGCCCATGGACACTCTCAATGCCAGAGGGCTCGCGAGTGCGTTGCCGGCCTTTTAAAAATTGGTACGCTCTTTTCTTGAAGGACCCTAAGTCGAATTGGTTCGGGAATACTTCAGTGGGCAGCTGGTTCCACATAGTGGTGGTGCGCGGCAAAAACTGCCTTGAGAAACGCTCAGTTGTGGAACGTCGGACGTCGAGGTGATACGGGTGGAATTTCGTATTCTGCCTCGACGTCCGATGATGAAACTCAGCTGCAGGTATTAATCCGAACAACTCCTCTGAACACTCTCCATGGTAAATGCGGTAGAAGATGCAGAGTGACCCCACATCTCTACGCAACGCCAAAGGATCAAGCCGCTCGGAGAGGGATTGGTCGTCGACGATTCTATGTTTGTTTCCAAAAAAGTCTGCATATTGCAATTAAGTATAATATTGTCTAACAGTTGAAAGATATATTATAATGATACTAGCTGTCGCCGCGAACTTTGTTTCTCTTTAATGCCTAGCCTACCTTTTTAGTATATATATACCAACATGGAACATTTTTCTATGCTACCCCAGAGACTGTTCGGTTTTTCGGAATGAAAACTTTTTAGGTATTTCTGTAATTTTTCTCTATATAAACCTCAGAGTTCAATTAATAAGTTCTTAACTTACAAATAAAAAATAGAGGTTGATCATGGAGGGTAGATAAAAATTAAGGGTTGTATGTATTTTTGTATGCTGTATCATAAAAAAAAAACAAAAAATGTTGTCTAATAAATAAAAAAATATTTTTTTTGGTGTAGACACCCCTTATCACTTAGGGGTTTGAAAGATAGATAGTAGACTTACTGAATATGCATAATTTTTTTTTATAAGAATCAGTCGAGCCGTTTCGGAGGAGTATGGGAACGAACATTGTCACACGAGAATTTTACATATATAGAGATTTTTTTTTTAAAAGACAATTCACACCAATTGACCTAGTCCCATGCTAAGCTGGTGAAACTTGTGTTATGGGTACTAGGTAACGGATATACAAACATATTATAGATAGATAGACATATAAATACATATTTAAACATCCAAGACCTAAGCACAACACCAAATGCTCATCACATCGATGTTCGTCTCAGCCGGGAATCAAACCCGGGACCCATGGATTCGCAGTCAGGGGTACTAACCACTAGACCAATGAGTTGTCAGATTATATTCATAAATTGAAAGAAACCATAAATAAAGTTACAGTTTTTCGTAAGTCCAGCGAAACTAACCTAACTTTAGGTTACATAACTCGTGTAAAAAGGTTTTTTGTAACACAGAAATGAAAGTCAAGATAAACATTGCGTATAGATAAGCAGTTAATACTGGCATCGCTTGTTTATCTTATTTAGATAAGTATCATCATTTCGAGAGCTATGAATTTATCATCGTTTATCTTTAGCTGCCGGTATTAAGATCAAATGTTTTACGGAATTACTGGCTTATAAACACCGAGTTGGAGATGCTCCTGAGACATGTAGTTACACTCACTAACTCACATGCACCCACACACGCGTTGTGTGAGTCACGCGCTTTGTAAAAAGTTTAAAAAAATGTTAGGGAATTTACTATTCAGTTTGTTATGGAAGAGGCAGGGCCGCCCCTTTGTGCGAAGTGTGTCGGCGCACACAGGCGCCAAGACAATAAGTGCGCCGCCACCGGAATAATTGACACAACAACATATTCTTTGTTGCGGAATATCGATAAGTAGGTACAATAGGCACAAATTTAAATAAAAACATATATTTCGCTTATTGTGCACTTCTCTACTTCTACTGATACTTCTACTTCTTCTTTGTGTCTGTATTAATTAAAGATGATGCCGCCAAAGCTATGTCCGTCCCACTTCCTGAATAAACAACCGGAAGCAAACTGGTTTTACCTATTTAGATAAATATAATCTAAGTAGCAGCAGGCTGAGTAGGCTGGAGCCTAGGGCGGCAGATATTTGGGGCGGCAAATTTGGGAAACGGATTTTTTTCGGTACCTCATAGAAATTCAAAAGATTTCTGCATGACGGTTTTCTGATGTTTTACAGAAGTCTGCAACAAATTTTGCTGATGAATTTCCCCTCTCACAAAGTAAATTTGGTGGCATACTTCCATATTCTAGAGTAAACAGCGACCTCTGCACCCCCAGCTCACACTATGAGTGAGTGAAAAGAGCGAAATTGCAGAAAATTTATTTCCCTCTTCCCTCTATCAACCCATACATGTCAGTCCTACTACTATGGCTGCGAACTGGGTTGTTCAAACCCAATAACATTTACGTGCAATTTCAACGAAATTGTTGGATTGTAAAAATAATCTTGAACATGACAATTGTAGAGGCAAAGGCGGCAAAAACTTCACAGTCTATAAAAATCC